TGGGTCTCGGTTCGGTTGTTTGGTCCGCACCCGAGTTCGATTGCTGTATTCACACCTGCCCAAAAGGTCCGCACCAAAGGGGGAAACGAACTAGAGTTCGATTCAATCGAACCAAACAAGGCAGGTGTGAATACACCCTTAGGAAATGTTATTCTGTAATAGCTTTTGTCCTAAATGTGGTCCTCCTAACTGATATTGCCATGGTTACAAAACAGATAAGATAGGGTTCTAAAGTTAAGATCTTTCTGTAATAATACACCCCCAGTATATTAGAGACATGAGATGGACTCTTTTGACCTAAGCCAGTAAGCAACAAGTGAACAAAAGTTGCAATCACACAGAATGGTTTACGTTAGGCTGCATAAACTAGGTCAGTCGGAACCGGGAACACTTCCTAGAACACCCGATGTACTCGTTTCATCATAAGAATGGCATCTACGCTAATTATTATATTAGTCTCTCTGTTTATCCCAATGTTTACTGTAATCAGCCGGATCCGGGCTGTATACAGATCAGATAGTGGACTAGCACCTAGACACGACCTCAACACATGATGTAGTCAGCCGGATCCGGGCCATATCCAGATCAGATTGTGGACCAGCACCTTGACACGACCTCAACACATGATGTAGTCAGCCGGATCCGGACCATATCCAGATCAGATGGTGGACCAGCACCTAGACACGACCTCAACACATGATGTAGTCAGCCGGATCCGGGCCATATCCAGATCAGATGGTGGACCAGCACCTAGACACGACCACAACAAATGATGTAGTCAGCCGGATCCGGGCCATATCCAGATCAGATGGTGGACCAGCACCTAGACACGACCTCAACGCATGATGTAGTCAGCCGGATCCGGGCCATATCCAGATCAGATTGTGGACCAGCACCTTGACACGACCTCAACACATGATGTAGTCAGCCGGATCCGGACCATATCCAGATCAGATGGTGGACCAGCACCTAGACACGACCTCAACACATGATGTAGTCAGCCGGATCCGGGCCATATCCAGATCAGATGGTGGACCAGCACCTAGACACGACCACAACAAATGATGTAGTCAGCCGGATCCGGGCCATATCCAGATCAGATGGTGGACCAGCACCTAGACACGACCTCAACGCATGATGTAGTCAGCCGGATCCGGGCCATATCCAGATCAGATGGTGGACCAGCACCTAGACACGACCTCAACACATGATGTAGTCAGCCGGATCCGGCCCATATCCAGATCAGATGGTGGACCAGCACCTAGACACGACCACAACAAATGTAGTCAGCCGGATCCGGGCCATATCCAGATCAGATTGTGGACCAGCACCTTGACACGACCTCAACACATGATGTAGTCAGCCGGATCCGGCCCATATCCAGATCAGATGGTAGACCAGCACCTAGACACGACCACAACAAATGATGTAGTCAGCCGGATCCGGGCCATATCCAGATCAGATGGTGGACCAGCACCTAGACACGACCTCAACGCATGATGTAGTCAGCCGGATCCGGGCCATATCCAGATCAGATGGTGGACCAACACCTAGACCCGACCTCAACGCATGATGTAGTCAGCCGGATCCGGGCCATTTCCAGATCAGATTGTGGACCAGCACCTAGACACGACCTCAACGCATGATGTAGTCAGCCGGATCCGGGCCATATCCAGATCAGATGGTGGACCAGCACCTAGACACGACCACAACAAATGATGTAGTCAGCCGGATCCGGGCCATATCCAGATCAGATGGTGGACTAGCACCTAGACACGACCTCAACACATGATGTAGTCAGCCGGATCCGGGCCATATCCAGATCAGATGGTGGACCAGCACCTAGACACGACCTCAACACATGATGTAGTCAGCCGGATCCGGGCCATATCCAGATCAGATGGTGGACCAACACCTAGACACGACCTCAACGCATGATGTAGTCAGCCGGATCAGGGCCATATCCAGATCAGATGGTGGACCAACACCTAGACACGACCTCAACGCATGATGAAGTCAGCCGGATCGGGGCCATATCCAGATCAGATTGTGGACCAGCACCCAGACACGACCTCAACGCATGATGTAGTCAGCCGGATCAGGGCCATATCCAGATCAGATGGTGGACCTGCGCCTAGACACGACCTCAACACATGATGTAGTCAGCCGGATCCGGCCCATATCCAGATCAGATGGTGGACCAGCACCTAGACACGACCTCAACACATGATGTAGTCAGCCGGATCCGGACCATATCCAGATCAGATGGTGGACCAGCACCTAGACACGACCACAACACATGATGTAGTCAGCCGGATCCGGGCCATATACAGATCAGATGGTGGACCAGCACCTAGACACGACCTCAACGCATGATGTAGTCAGCCGGATCCGGGCCATATCCAGATCAGATGGTGGACCAGCACCTAAACACGACCTCAACACATGATGTAGTCAGCCGGATCCGGACCATATCCAGATCAGATGGTGGACCAGCACCTAGACACGACCACAACAAATGATGTAGTCAGTCGGATCCGGGCCATATCCAGATCAGATGGTGGACCAGCACCTAGACACGACCTCAACGCATGATGTAGTCAGCCGGATCCGGGCCATATCCAGATCAGATGGTGGACCAGCACCTAGACACGACCACAACAAATGATGTAGTCAGCCGGATCCGGGCCATATCCAGATCAGATGGTGGACTAGCACCTAGACACGACCTCAACACATGATGTAGTCAGCCGGATCCGGGCCATATCCAGATCAGATGTTGGACCATCACCTAGAAACGACCACAAGACATGATGTAGTCAGCCGGATCCGGGCCATATCCAGATCAGATGGTGGACCAGCACCTAGACACGACCACAACAAATTATGTAGTCAGCCGGATCCGGGCCATATCCAGATCAGATAGTGGACTAGCACCTAGACACGACCACAACGCATGATGTAGTCAGCCGGATCCGGGCCATATCCAGATCAGATGGTGGACCAGCACCTAGACACGACCTCAACACATGATGTAGTCAGCCGGATCCGGGCCATATCCAGATCAGATGGTGGACCAGCACCTAGACACGACCTCAACACATGATGTAGTCAGCCGGATCCGGGCCATATCCAGATCAGATGGTGGACCAGCACCTAGACATGACCTCAACACATGATGTAGTCAGCCGGATCCGGGCCATATCCAGATCAGATGGTGGACCAGCACCTAGACACGACCACAACAAATGATGTAGTCAGCCGGATCCGGGCCATATCCAGATCAGATGGTGGACCAGCACATAGACACGACCTCAACACATGATGTAGTCAGCCGGATCCGGGCCATATCCAGATCAGATGGTGGACCAGCACCTAGACACGACCACAACAAATGATGTAGTCAGCCGGATCCGGGCCATATCCAGATCAGATGGTGGACTAGCACCTAGACACGACCTCAACACATGATGTAGTCAGCCGGATCCGGGCCATATCCAGATCAGATGGTGGACTAGCACCTAGACACGACCACAACGCATGATGTAGTCAGCCGGATCCGGGCCATATCCAGATCAGATGGTGGACCAGCACCTAGACACGACCTCAACGCATCGCTGAAGTGTCAGCAGAGATTGTGTCAACTAGACTCTCCCCTGTGAAGGCCTCATCGACACGACAGCCATCGGCACTGATCCTCAACAAACCCATCTCCATACCGGCGTGACTCCGATCTTCAACCAGATGGAACTGGATAAATATTCTGAATGTTCTGATCTGACTTATGTCCTATAATGCTGCCTGAATCATAATCATACACTGTTCGTTCGATGGTAAGAGGAGTACTGTCCCACGACTGAGCCTGGTTTCTCCCAAGGTTTTAGGTTTTTTCTCCCAACTAAATTTATAACTTGTTTGCAACAAAAATGAACCATCACTGAACTTACTTAAGCTGGACTATGACACTATTTTCTTCTAGATTTGCTGTACAGCCGAAACAAACTTTGTTGCAGTATTTTCCTGTTATCACTGTAAAGCTGCTTTGAAACAATCTGTATTGTAAAAAGCGCTATATACATAAAGGTGACTTGACAGCACCTTAACCATACAGCAATCCCATTGGCTGTTACTCACATTTTCTTAAGAAAATGAAAGTAAATTTTGTTTTGTGCAGCACTTTTCACAATACATAATTTCAAAGCAGCTTTAGAAAATAAAGGCTAAATGCCATCAGTAAGACAACTGTGGCTTGTGGCAAGGAAAACCTCCATAAGATGAGGAAGAAACACGGTGGAGTGGGGTATTGGCTGTTCTCCAATCTAAAATTGGCGGTACTAAAACTGATTACTGTGAATACTTATCAAAGACCTGTCAAAATAATGAGAAGATGAATAATTGTTTATGAGATAAAATAAGATGAGAGTGAGTGTGTTAAAAAAGGCTTAACAGAAGGGGCTAGTTTTTCTTTTTCATGACATTTCTTCACCTCTCTTCCAAAACAAAGAATGTCTGAAAACAAGAAAAAACTAATTTGCTTTCAAGTGGGCTGAATATAAACCTTAGCTTAAGGTCCGCCATCCCACAAGCACTTGAAACACCATGGAATGAGGTCACGTATCCACTTAAAACGGTCCTTCAACTGATTGCGAAGAGGAAAGTACTTTAAAAATATTTACTTCTTCAGTCTTCATTTTCATGTCAATCTACTGCTTATACACCATACAGCTTTCGAATCATTTCAATAAACAAACCATCTGACTTCAGCAAGCAACGAGGAGCCAATTAAGAGAAAAAATAAATAGCTGCTGCTCCAATGTTCATTTTAAGATCCCTGATTTCACAAACTCCTCCTTCCTGCAATTCCACTGCCCATAACAAAATCAAAGGAACTGAATGATGAGGTGCCATTTATTTCGGAGGAAGTTTGACCATCTTCAGCCATTTTAAGAAACATGGTCAATTTATGCACAATATTAACCAAATGTCAACAAAACATTCACCTCCTTTTTCTGGATCTTTATCCTCTTCAACCTCCTCTATCTTCAGCTCTTCATCATCTTCTGACTCAGTTGTACACCGGTAGCCCTTCCTCTTCAGGATGTGGCAGATGAGGACTCCCAGAAGTCCCATCAGAAAGAAGAAAGGCACCAGAACAAAGGCAATATACTCTGGGTTACCCGAGTCCCCATTGCCAGCTGAAGAGAGGAGACAATCAATTAATAAAAAAAGTTTGGTAACGTTTATATATATATAATATGCCTTATACTGCATATAACTATTAGGGCTGTTGTTTTATTGTGTTCATTTAATTAATTAGTTATGGCGAAAAATAATGTGTTAAAATTATTAACACACCCGCCCCAGACCTACGCAAGTCATCTTACAATTCATACAGTTGATTGGTGACGAACATGAAGCAGGGCAACAAACTTATAGAATGCAGTTAGAATGGCCCTAAAATTCAAGATATCAGGGCAAAAATGCCCATGTATGAGTTATGTATATCATTAATAGTTAAGCAATATCACACGAGAATAGGTCTTATTCAATTCTTATTCAATAAGAAGTTAATATTGTGTTATATTTTAGACACAATATTGTCTGCTTTTACTACATTTTTCCAACAAAAATATTACCTATAAAGAGAATACAGAGCAGAATTGCTGTATGTCTCAGTCTGAACAACACGCAGTGGTGTTTAATTTCTATTAATCCAAATGCCAGTTCTGTCTTCAGTGAAGTTGAAACTATCAACATCGGAAGACAGCCTTATGTGTACCGGCAATGTGAATTTAATTTTTTTCAATATTATTAAAAAAAAAACATTAAAGGTGGTTCACCCCAAAAAATTCTAATGCATACATAAACCAAAAGTTCTATATGGTACAAACTGACAGAGATTAGTAAGATTAGATGGATTTTATAGTTACAGAGATCAAAGACAGTTTGAGCCATTACATCACCCCACTAAAACAGTTTTTGGGGCTTTGTACATATCTGTTAATTTGTATATACTAATGTGCCCCTTAAAGTTGACCAAATTTACACTCTTTCTGTTCTCTGGGAAAATGAACCAAAAATAATTACTCATCTTGCACTCAAGGGTGTATACAAATTCTTGTCCAATAACATGCTGGCGAGAATGAGAATGTCCCTCCCCCTTATAGCATCTAGGTGTCTTGCAGTCGAGAGAGGAGTTGAAAACTGCCCACCCTCTTTTTCCACAGCCTCGCTTCCAGAAGGATTTCTCGCATAGGTTTAGAATGACTCTACGTCATTCACAGTGTGGGAGTAGCTAAAGAATTCTTTTGGCGTGATTTGATTGATGGTTTCGACCCAACTAATCTACAATTTAGTTGATATATTTCTAGATTAAATTAGAACTTCATTCAGTTACTTTACTCTGAAACTTTTGCCATAGAGGAGAGCTAACAGCAGAGTTAGCTCAGCTTATTCAATAAGTGCTGAGAGCTAGTGTCTGCACAGACAGAAAAACACATTACACAGCTCAAAATGAGACAGGCCAAGTGTTTGGTCAGTCAAATACATAGAGAATGACAGATAGGGCAAGAATGAGTGAAAGCAAAGGCTGCAGAGGGAAAGAATGACCTCGGAGAACAGCACAGAGGACAGACACTGGCATGGTACCCTGCAGCGAGTGACTCAGGGGATCAGTAATCCCTGTAAATTTCCACTGTACAGTTACACACATTTCATCACTCTCTACATCTTTTACTCATAACCCTTTACGTATTGCTGAAGAAATATCATGGTGGTTTGATATAATCATTTCCATGTACCGAAGAATTTACATTTTACTCCAGGGGATTTAAAAAAATACCACAAATTTACCAAGGAGCCATGTGATAAAACCAATCGGAACACCTTTGCAACCATACAGTATAAACACTCTGGCAATCTCCAACAAGCACCATAGGTTTCGAAACTGGCAGTAATATATGTTTTAATCGCAAGTGCATGGGAAAAGGTGTTTGTTCCTAGAGTCTGTCAGTAGTTCTTGAGAAGAATATCGGTTGTTGACTTCAGATATAATTTCTCCATTGATCCCATACAAAATTAATTTTTCTTCTCAAAACAACTCCCTCAGTTTCCGAGGATCCGCAAAAAGGTTTCTCTCTCAGTCTCTTACCTTCATAAAATCAGAAACAAATAATCAATACACACACCAACACCTGTCTTTCACCTAACACTCTCTTATCTGTAAAATCGAACGCTACACAAATATCTCTTTATTCAAGCATGTCTTGAACACCAGAGGTCAAAGGGTTATATAGACTGTATTTTGGGCATTCCTGTTCATTCCTGCTCAGTCTCTGGGACTGAACTCTGACCCCCAACAAGCTATGCGCCAAGCACACATGCAGACAAAGAGCCAATTGTAATGTCTGTTACTGCATGTCTGCATATCACATGCACTGATGCTTGGACTTGCTGCATTTACAGACCGCAGACGCCTACAATACCATGTACTAAGGAAGGAACGTACACAAGTAATCGACAATTTGACTTATGCCTTTGTCTGCTGGTAAGAGGTGATATGTTTTCAGGCACAAGTGTACACGTTTCTAGCATGTTGGCAACAGTTCTTCTAACCCTAACTAATGGAGTGTGTAGCTAGATTCATCAGGCTCAAATTGTGAATGAATGCACTCTGTAAAGTCTAATCGAGCACCAAAGACTTTTAATGAATTTAAGGTCTGGACTCAGAGGTGCCAATTCATGTGTGAAAATAATACTTCATGCTCCCTCCCAACCAACCATTCTTTCACAGTTTGAGCCTGATGAATCTTGACATTGTCATCCTGGAATATGGCCATGATGTGTCTTCCTACATGGCATATATACACACACACATATATGCCTTATTAGTTGTTGTTTCTATGGGCTGCCGTCCATATACAAGCAGTCCGCCATATTGGAACGGTCAAATCCGGTCCGTGAACATTCAAGAGCAAGTTGACTGAGTGTCTGCAACTGTAGTTCGATGCATGTATGAATATCTATATCTGTAATAGACTTCAGCAGATGATTTTGCTAAACTAACATAATACAAGACGAAGGCGACAGCTAACACGACATTAAAAAGTTACCATAGTAAAAACCTGTAATAGTGAGTTATCACGAAAACACAAGCTAACACATTCTCACCTGTGAACTGTTATAACATTTCTTCGGGAATTTAAATCTCTTGATCCTTACTGTGAGTGACGACAAGCTGACTGTTCCAAGATGGCGGGAGTGCAAAGACGTGTCTGTAGCGGTCTAGTCTGGCATCTACGTATAAACCATCAAAGATATCTTTAACTGTAAAGTTTTAATAATCGTTCTAATTCTTTCAGAATAGAGATGCCCACACCACAACAATAACGATAATGACGGAAGAGAGGAACAATATTGTTGGAATCACTTTCAGAACTATTTTTCCAGCTGATGAATGACAAAAACATTGACAGCCAATCAAAACCCACCTGGCTTTTAAAAGTTTGAGCATTTAAAGCAGCAGAAGACATAGCAGCAGCATATGCTTATAAAAAACAGAACACTATCGTGCGTTGGTGTTGCCGCTGTAGTTGTCAAGTGTCAAGCAAGCGTTTTTGAGCTTCTGTTGGCCCCATTTAATATGCACTGTGTACTGATTATCCTGATTAGACTATCCCTTTAACTTACATTTTTATTTTCAAGTAATTGATAACCCCCTTTTTTACATTATAGATTATAGTACTCAACTACATCCCTATAATAAGGTCTAGTAAGCCTACACAGATGATAATACAGCAAGTTTGGGTGCGTAGGAAGTGACCATCCATCTTGTTAAACTGGCTCAATGCCAGAGCAGTTCTGAACAGACTGAATGACTAGCAAGACAGGGATCTGACGTGACTCACATACGCGTGAACAAACATCTCAAGCTACGCATTACAGTTACCGCCCACTTCTGCATCCAGGCTTAACAACGCAATGGAAGAGAATCTCAGTTATCTAAGGTCACAAGTGCAGTCATAAACATACACTCGAATAACTCAGGGGAACTGAATGACTATGTGCCATTCGAGTACGTTGTGGGAAGGCGTTCCAACTAAACAATCCTTTTTCATTCAGCTTGCTTAATAGAGCACTAAAAGGGGCAGATAAGACATGACGTCAAAGTTGTTTGCTCCAATCGCAAATCACATTTCAATATCTGCGCAAACTACACAATGACATTCAGGCAGAGTACAGTTTAAATGAAAGACAGATTTCAAACTGGTAGTTTCCAATTAGCAATCCAAACATGTGACTGCTGTTCATCAAATTGAGTAATAATCCAGGGATGCTGTCCTTTTAGACAACATATGCTGCTTGTGACGCTCCAGTCAGAAATAGGTGTGGTGGGAAATTTGATAGGCCTATTCTCTATTGTATTCGTCAATCCAAATTCCAAACAGATCTTTGCTATAAAACTGAAAAGAAAAAAAAAACTGCTTACCTCACTCCTAGATCTACTATTATGTAATTTAGATTAGCAATCAGAACGGCGAGTTAGAACAATGCTGACAACACATACTTTAGGATACTATGTGGGTTAATACAGATCTAAGTTTTATCATCTTCAATATCTCAAATTTGTTTCCCACCAGATAGATAAAATGGAGACTTTCACTTAAATCTCCTGCTTCTTCCTGGAAAATCGTAATGTAAAACTGCAATTTCTCGTTTATCTCATACTAAGCACTCAATAGTTCCAGAAAAGATCTCATTGTCTTTTCAAGAGTGTCTGTGTTTTTACATCATGTGCACTGCAAAGTAGCTATACTGGACAAGCGAAGTATACTTTGGGTTTTAGATGGGGTTTCTCTCTATAAATGCAACAGCTGGGTTCTGGAAGTAAGAGTGTCATTCATTTTCTCCACAGGGAATGTGGCTGATTTTTAACAACTTGCAAACCAAACCATACAGACAGACCTTGAGCTACAAGGTTAAAGGCATGCTTTTGTTAACGCCATGCATTATTTCAACTTTTTTTTTTTTTTTTTTATATCTACCAATCAGAGAATCAAAAAGAGCAAACCACAACAAAAGAACTCTTTAGCAATAACTGCAATCAACAGTTTTATATCTGTCATTTTTTATTTGATTGCCATTTGCAGTGCTTCGTGGGATTGTTGTTCTTTCCTTCATTAAAGCCATTAAGTACACACTTGTGTAACTTTGTCCTTTTGTCTGAGTATCAAATACTTTTTTTTTTTGCTTCAAATCAAAATTATTAATGTTGTGATTCACCTAGAAGCTGTTTGGTTAATTCACAATTTTAAAACTCCTTTTTAAAGACTTTTTTAATAATTTCTATGGAAAAAATAAATAAATTGAATAATACTTCCGGAACCAACGTCGCTGAAGAAGTTATGCGAAAAAAATGGGAAAAAATACAATACGCGAAAAACAGTAGGCAAAAAGTCCCTGGATGACCTACTACTTCTGGAGAGATTCTGAAGTGAGCATTCGATTGACATTTTATTATCCCATGAGGCCGAGAGAGGATTTATGAATGGGAGTGAAGCAACGCAACTGACAGATCAGGTGACAGTAACAACATGGCGGATGTACCGAATGAATATCATACTACCGACCTACATTCAAAATATAGGCTTATACTTTTTTTAACGATTGCGAATGTGCGTTCACGCCATGTCGCAATTACCGTTTTAGAGATTTCAACTTTCGTAAAAAAAGCTTTCATGTCCATAGAGTTCGTAATTACAATTTTGTAAACTGTGAATTTACTGAGAGCTGCTACTTAAGTTGTACCTGACCACTACAAATGAATTTCGGCCAGTGGTGGAGGAAGTACTGAATCTCAGTACTTAAAGTCCCACTCCGATCATATTTTGAGCTATTTTTAAACATTCCCAGTGGTCTTTAAATTATGATTATGCCATTTTTAGCCAAAATCACAAAACCTGTGCCGTTTTCTGGGACTTCGCTTCAGCAGAGCGGCAGTAGCTCATTAGCAATTCGCCTCTGCGTTGTGGGCGGAGCCGTTGGCACGGAGACGACCCTCCCCCTGCCCGTTGCTGAGAGCTCTGTCTCTCCCGCTAGCTTACACCCCCAATACCGGTGGGGCAACAGTATTATATACACGTTAATTATTATTATCCGAAGTTAATCAAAGTTATCACCGATCACCGATCATTATTTCACTCCAAGACGTCGCGTGTGGAGACGCCCAGTGGAGTTACTACGTCACAACTCCAGTCTATTTTAGCCGGCATTTTAGCGTCAGCTACTGATTCACAGCCATTTGAATGTAGAAATACTCAGAAATACAACTTTGAGCTTATTTTTCTCAAGATATGTCCTCTAACATCAGAAAAATGCCACAAGAACATGTTAACACCTAGAAAAACATTATTTTCATCGGAGTGGGTCTTTAAGTAAAAGTACAAATAACCAGAGACATATTTACTTTAGTGAAAGTAGAAGTACCACAATGACAACGCTACTTAAGTAAAAAGTACCTGATTTTGAAAGTACTTTAAGTATTAAAAGTAAAAGTACTTGCATAACAATTTATTCTCTTAATGTCTATTCTAAAGATTTATAAAACAGTTAACGTTAATCCTAACTCATTCAACCTAATAATCCTATAATGATGTTTAATAATGATGGAAAAGCCGTTATTTTTTACGTTTTTGTCACCATTTCTGAACAAGCTTGCAATTATAGGCAATATACACATCAAGCTTAATTTGACGGGGTTTGGCTGTAAACGCGATTAATTTATGGCGTAATTCTGAACCTCTTGGCTTGCCATACTAATCCTAACCAAACGTATAATAGGCTACACAGGCACCCCACACCACTACTAAACCTACCCATGCGTATCCTATGCACGTAAAAACAAATTTCCGCATATAAATTGCACGATAAACACACTGCGTGCTATAGAGACGCATTTAGTGTGACCGAGTTGATATGGCAACCAAACTTCACTGGTGAGACAAACGTGCGACGAACGGACGGTCAGGATGACGTTTTGGCAGGGGAAAACTGATCAGAAAATGTAACGAAAATGTAACAAGAACGTTGTAGAAATGTAGTGGAGTAGAAAGTATAATAATTGCTGCAAAATGTAACGAAGTAATAAGAATGCACTATTGATTCTACTTAAAGTAAATGTGAAAAATGTACTTAAGTAAAGTAACGAAGTATTTGTAACGTTACTTCGTTACATTCCACCACTGATTTCGGCATTGTTTTCTGTTCCAATCCAGCTTTCAGTTTATGTTGCTTATAGTGACACACAAAGTTAGATTTTTTTGGCTTCTTTTGGAAATATTTTCATTAGCGAATCTTATTCAGAACTACTGTTTAAAAGCAACAACACTCTTTAGCATGTAAAATTACAGCTGCTCTTAGTGCTGTTTAATTATCTCAATTAATTAAGTCCCCTAAGATATGAAAGAGCAGCCTGAGCAGTGCAATTTCTAATGTCAACAACTCTGTTCGCACGACTATGAACTAAAAAAAATCCCACATATCGATCGTCGGATATGCGGCAGCATCAGCGCGTGCTGGGTCGCGAGCAATCCCAGGTCATCATAACTTTATGATAGACAGCCGCACCTTGCGCAAAGGACCCCCAGCATTCACCCAAGTGCGCCACAAACATACTGATACAATACAGGCGTGTGTGGGTGCGTGATTATCAATTGCCGGAGAAGGAATGAATCGATCTGCCCAGCATGTCTTACGCGGGGTGGGTATCGTTACTTACGTGGCAGGGTAACGGGCGGTGAGGAATCTACCATCGGCCCACCGGTGTGACCGACGTTCTGCCGTCCACAGATGAACTCGGACACGGACTGGAGTGTCCACAGACTCGTGAGCTTTGCGCTGTGCTTACATTCACGGCTACTGCTGGTGTTTCCTCATTCTTATCACTGCTATGATGAGGAACATCCCCCTCTTAAAGTTGCAACCCAGTACAGCAATGCTCAAAGCTGTGACCCACACGGTCCGGTGGACTTAAGTTGATCGGATTCGAAAGTAGAAAAATCCCCAGGACAAAAGGCGTTTGTAAAGATACTTGGATGTACACAATTGTCCTGTCTACGCACGGTTAGTTTGCATGCATGCAGATAATGCGTTTCCAGTCCTGCAGAGGGCAGCATGATTCTACATGTGTACAAGCGCAACACAGAGGAAGAGGAAACCCGGAAAAGTCTAGAGTCGGCATCTGCGCTTTAAAGGAATAGATCACTTAAAAATGAAAATTCTGTCATCATTTACTCACGCTCAAGTTGTTTCAACATTGTATGAATTTCTTTCTTCTGCTGAACACAAAAGAAGATATTTTAAAGAAGTACAGTTGATGGGCCCCATTGACTTCCATAGTATTGTTTTCCTACTATGGAAGTCAATGGGGTCCATGAACTGTCTGGTTACCGACATTCTTCAATCTTCTTTTGTGTTCAGCAGAAGGAAGAAATTAATACAGCTTTGGAACAACTTGAGGGTGAGTAAATGATGTCAGAATTTTCATTTTTAAGTGAACAATTCCTTTAAGTGTTGTGAATTTCTATAATTTGCATGGCAAACAAAGCGTCTTCCAAAATAATCCCTGCAAAAATCCTTACATTTTATTATGAACAAAAAAATTAAAACCCTATTAAATGTTATAGACAAATTCTTCAATAGAATGCCCCTATCTATACAATCCTAAAAATTATGGATCTTGAATTTGTTTTGGGGGAAACAAATCATTTAATGTTAATTTTATATAATTTAATTTGTTAATATTGTACTTTCTAAATAATCTATACTAAGTTATGCTAAAAGTAGTAAGAGTTCTACGCTATAGTAGTTCCGAGTTCAGCAATAGACCCTTCCACTATGCTCCCGCACAGTGTTTTGAGTGACACTGTTTTATCTACAAAGACTGTGCTTTAAAACACTTTATTTCTTTTAAAAAAACACACACATATATACCCCCATAAAATATCTTGCACAAATTTCCTTTTTGACCAGCTAAATAATACTTGGCTGCATCAAAAATCACATACTTCCCTACTGTAAAGAATGAAAAACAGTATGTGACAAAATAAGCGCGTCTGAATTCACAGTACTCATAAAAGAGTAGGCCTATGCAAAAAGCCCCCCGATGACCTACTACTTCCAGCGAGATTCTGAAGCTTGCATACGATGGGCACTTGACTATCCCATGAGGCCACGGTAGAAGATTTATGAATGGCAGTGAAGCAACGCAACTGACGCTGGTAGGTCACATGATAATGACAGCATGGTGAATGTAGTACATCCAGATTACATACATACTACACACATTTATACTATATAGAACATACTATTAGCTGTCGTAAAGTAATTACTTATTTTAAAATAAAGTACAAGAGAGTATGGCCCTGTCCCAAATGGCGCACTTCATGCGGACTTTCGGTCTCGTGGACTTAAATTGCGCGTGCTCGCCGAGTCTACGAGTCCGTAGGCCGTCCCATTTAGCATTTTAACGCTCTGAAGTGTGCTCAGCAGCGCCCCCTTTGTACCCTTGAAGCGGTCTTCCGCGAAGCCCGCATAGATGCAGGCTCCACGCACTTTAACTACCCAGGAATCCTTGCGAAAGGCCAATCAGACAACGGATGGGAGGAGATTTCGCTCACGGACAATTGTTAACATGGCTGAGAAGAAAATATTTAAGTGTAATTATCATTACGGTTTTTATGACAAGTTTATACAAACATTATGATCATCGGCCAGTGGTTGACGTCTCAAACATAGGCTAATAATAGCGAGCTGAATAATACGATCGCATTATGATTCATTAAATAAATAGAACAGAATGTCAGGGCTTTACTGAGTCATATGTAAACACAACAACAATAGGCAGCATATTTCCCCGAACCTGTAGCTCCTGTCCGTAACAACAATCAGACCATCTTCCTGTTTCAGGCGTGACGATCGAGTCTGTCCCAAAAATACCTTTCAATGCGCCCTCGCGGACTCACGCTAAGGGCCCTATAGGTCTGCACTACATGACGTCATCCAAGTGTGGACTCTGAGGAAGTCCACAAGTACGGAGTGTGCCATTTGGGACAGGGCCTATGTGATTTCGGACACAGACCTTGTTTTATTTTAGTAACCTGTCAGATTGAATGACACCTTTACCCCTGATGCATTTTAAAGGACACAAGATTAATTAAATTGCACATCACACCGATGTTATCTTTATTAAGTGACGCCCAACTGTTCTACCAGTTCCAAAATACAAGCATTTCAGCCTGTGTTAGTATACTTAACACACGCCTCATGATGTTCATGTGTTGCTCAGCTAATTTAGCACACACTTCTGTGGCTGAGGACACGTGTCTTTGTGACGGCAGAGCTCCTTCCACTCAGTGTCAAATCAGCTCTGTGGCAGCTTCAGGTGAATTGAAATCATGGCCGGAGAGAATTCAGGTCAGCTTTCATAAAAAAAAAAAAAAAAAAAAAAAAAAAAAAGTGCACAGAGAAACAATTCATCCATACATTCACCCGGCACTACATCAATCCATCGTTCATCAAGTATCTCTAATCTTCATCTTTTCCTCCAGTTTTGCTCAGCTATAGGGGAAAAAAACAAACAAGAAAGAAGACAAGAAATATGTAAAAGTATGATAAGCGTGGACTACCGTTTAAAGATTTGGGATTGCAAATATGTTTTTTTTATGTTTTTGAGTCTCTTATGCTCACCAAGGCTGCATTTATTTGAACAAAAATGCGGTAAAAACTAGAATTGTGAAATATAATAATTATAAATAAAAAATAAATAATGCATTGTAATTTTTTTTCAATATTCTTTGATGAATAGAAAGTTCAAAATACAATTTATTTGAAATATAAAATTAAAATATATTTAACATTATTAATGTCTTTACTGTCACTTCAATTTAATGAATAAGTATTACTTAAAAAAAATCTTACTGACCCCAAACTTTTGAACAGTAGTGTATGTATCACTTAATCCATTTGAGAGTTGTAGTATACCAAGTAGTCCAAGTTGTAGTATTTCATAGTGTCAATTGTTATTTAAAAGCTATAAACATGGTTTCATTATGCCATTCACTATTATGATTACAACCTGAATATTTAATTCATAATACAGAGGCCCCAAAAATATTTGAATTCTGCAGCCATTCATAATCTGTATGTATCCATTGCATTAGTTAATACAATATCAAACCAAATGGCATCATAAAAATATATGATGCTAGACACTCAATTTCACATTTCTGTGAAACGCTTGCATCGTTTTTCTTTCAAATAAACACTGTTTGGTTTGATATTTGTTATCTAATGTCACAACATTCAAACAGTTTGTCTTAAGTATGACCTTAGAGTCCAAACACTTCTTGGGGCCACTGTATATTATATCTTAAATAGAAATTGCTTACATGCTGTTTGGTGAACAGAAAACGTGGTCGGGATCCCCATACAAAAAGAGAAAAAAGACAGACATTATAAAACAAGTCTCTGAATGTTTAAAGGCCCCAGAAACACTTCAAGCAGAATCGGTGAAAGAACTGGTGTGACGTCATTTCGAACAAAATCAGGCCAAAAAGAAGTTTGTTTGGTGTTCATTTAGGGAGTTCAAAACAGGAGAGTTTTGGGTGAACTATCCCTTTAACCTTTGAGGCTCAGAGCGAACGAAACACGAACGAAAACATTTGAAAGCATCGTCTATAAGCGGAAATACTGATAATCCTGGAACAGTCAACTTTTCTTTTTCTTTTTAGTATTACTGGTACTTTTTTAGTACTACTGACAACCCTAATTTATTCTGTTCAGTCGGTCGAGGTTAGACATGAGTAAAAACACGAACACACTGAGATCCGCTTTATAATAAATAAATTAAAGTTGTAATTTGAATTTAAGGAGCCACTGAAACTGTTTTTTTCTTGTTTAATACTGTAAAGCTGCTTGCTTTTAAACAATCTACTGTATAAAATGCTATATAAATAAACGCAACGTGACTTTACTGGAGTGCCGAATTGCAGAGATTGTGCGAACATCCACATCGCTATGATAAATGCTTTTTTAACTGTTGTTTTTTCACCGCTGTCTTTTTGTGGTGTGTTTATTTGGTTATTGAGAGAAAAGTGTACAGCACATATTAACATATTCATCTAAACGCGCTCTCAGCAGCGTGGACGGCGTCGGGATGTTCGCTAACAGCATACACCGCTGCTTACTTATTTCAAACTTATTTTTATCCCTAAGCGAGGAACGAAAAAGAACATCGCCATGAGTACATCAGGGGCCTTAAGAATGTGCATTTATATTTTAAGCATCAAATGGCATTTGTAGAAAATCATTCTATTTGAACTTACCTTAATAACATCTACCCAGTTCCAACCTCTTGGTAGTTCACCCTTATTATCTGTTTATTGCAAAGGGTAGTTTCACATCAGTGTGCATTCAAACAACAAAGCCAAACTTCTTTCGTTTTTTAGCCAATGATACTAACCTGTTTTTCCAATCAGTTTCCTCTTCTGTGATTTGGTTAGTTGCTCTTTCTTCTCCTTCTTCTTCTTACTGACAGAGGTGGAATTATTCATGACATCGCTGTTGGACATCAAGGTCTGAGAAACAATACCAGTCGTTACATTTTTTTTTTTTTTTTTTACAGGAGCTGTGACAAAGTCATTCTGAACAATCAGTTTCCATAGCTACAAGAGACCTTCACTTTGTTCTTTTGAGGTGATGTAATTGTTAAAAGATATAATGTCAAATATATCAGAAAGCACTAGTGCAGACATTGCACAATATATTCAGAGAGCCCAACGCATCAAGAATACAGACCACAGCGGTTGTCACAGGCTGATGGTTTTCCATGAGTGTTTCCTGGTTCTCTTTGGCCCACTCAAAAAGTGTGTACATCATGGCAGTGCCGAGGTTGGCCTCCACCTGTTCGCTCATCTTCGAGAGAATGTACTGCTTTGTCTCCAGCGATCTAAAATTAGAAGGTTCATTTAATCCCGTTAAATCCAATAACCATACTTGCACTATGAAATATGATATTCAATATAAATCCAATAGTACCATTCAAAGTACCATTCAAAAGCTTGCGGTCAGTAAGTTTAAAAAAAAAAAATATATATATATATATATATATATATATATATATATATATATATACACTTTTATTCAGAAAAAAAATTATCAAAAGTGGCAGTAAAGACTTTTACATTGTTACAAAAATTTCAAATAAATGTTCTTTCGAACTTTCTATTTATTAACTAATACTGAAAAAAAAATGATCACGGTTTCCACAAAACTATTAAGCAGCACAAATGATTTCAACACTGATTGATAATAAGAAATGTTTCTTGAGCACTAAATCAGCATTTTAAAATGATTTCTGAAAGATCATGTGACACTGAAGACTGGAGTAATTATGCTGAAAATTCAGCTTTGCCATCACAGGAATAAACTACATTTTAAAATATTATATTAAAAAAGCAAGCTATTTTAAATTGTAGTCACAATTACACATTTTTCATTTAAAAATTCCATACTTCTCCAGCCTCAAATTTTTCAAACCTCTCTGTAGATTTTTTTCAGGCCATAGTTAACATAAATGGTTTATATACTGAGCGTTATTTTCAGCATTATATTTGGTATATAGTTCAGTCACCTGTAAATATTATTTTCATTGGTTTTCTTAAATGGTTTTTCTTAAAAAGAAACCTAAAATGCTTTATAACCTGCATATTTTCAACTCTGACACATCAGTTCGATACTGTAAATGTGGTCTGATGTTGCATGATCCCCAAACAGCAAAGTACAGTCTGATTTAGATGATTGTTTGCTCCTTTATTTGTTTCTGGTTTAAGTGGCCCTGGCAATTGAGTAAACATTCTTTTGGTGTTCAAAATAGGCTCACTTATGGTAACAGTTTTGCATAATTAAAAGTTGCAACATGAATTCATTCATTCGTGTTTGACAATCACTAAAGGATCACTAAACATTTGCCATGGAAACACTGCTAATACGATACATTTATTTTTAGAAATTCAAATTTTTAATTTTATAGTTTAGAAAACTGAATAGGACCAATAGTCTGGAAACACAAATATTTTTCCATACTGTTTTTGTCCCATCCTTATCCAGACCAGACTTGGATATTACTCAAATCAAATTCCATACTGCGTAGGAACCTTGTGTAATAATATTTCACAATACAGCCTTGGTTAGCATAAGAGACTCGTGTCAAAAACATCTTACTGAACGTAAACTTTTGAAATATAAACATATCCAGTGCAAATAATCTGACATATCTCTGTCAAGTACAATCTATGAACTTAGGTTAGAACATTTTAGCCACAATGAAAGGCTAAAACAAATATACTGTGAACAACTTACATTCTGTTGTTGAAAAAAGTATCTAATGATATGTGCGGTGCAGTTTCAGGATAGTTCTCTGGCCAACACACTTCTAGCAGGAAGGATTTAGTGTCATCAACATCTCCTATCTACAAATAAAAAATAAAAAGAAGAAGAAAATAACACAATTCAGACACAAAAAGTACCATGACATTACCAAAAAAACTTTGGACAAGGTACAATAGTAGTGCTATATGTTTTTTGCAAACGTATTATTAATACAATATCATCTAAACCAACAATATATGAATTGGGTAATCAGTTAAATCCATTATATAGTAACGTATCATCTCATGCCATCACCAAAGTGTAAGAGTGTTATACAACTAAAGAATGTATAAACCAAGGCACTCCTATTTATTTATTTACTTTGCATTTCACTTCTGCTCTAGCTTGTTTACTAAACTAGATAGATAGATAGATAGATAGATAGATAGATAGATAGATAGATAGATAGATAGATAGATAGATAGATAGATAGATAGATAGATAGATAGATAGATAGATAGATTTTCGATAAAAGTTTCTGTAAATAAATGTAAATAGTGTTGTTCATTTTATCTGTACGGCATAGGCTAAATAAAACATCACTGTAAGTCAAAGTAAACAGTATTTGGTATATGTTTATGACTTTTTTCACACCACTGAACTGAAGTATTAGTGGCGAGAAGCAGTTCTTACCCTGAACTGGAAAGAAACAGAGCTGAGCTCTTTAAAGCAGTCATCTCCTTCATAGATTGAACGCAGAGCCTCCAACTCCATCTGCACACGAACACTTCAGAGTCAATAACTATAGCCCTGCACTACTATGATATTACCATGTTTTGGACATTTGCCGTTGTATTTTCCTAGTGTACTGATATAACATGGGACATAAAAATGGAAACACTATACAGTAATATCATCGCTGTTCCATGGTACCACCACTTTACTTTTTTTTGTATAGTGTTATTCAATTTCAGAATGAAATGTGGGCATAAACCAGATGTTCATTAAGTTTGTGGTTAGGTTAGAATACACAGCCCTTTATAAAACTTCCACAATGCATTTAATGAGCATATTTTAGATCATGTTAGCTTTAGCTGTATCTGTCTCACCTCCTGGTCTTCATTGGCAGTCATGTTTTTCGCCAATCTAACACTTTAAAACAGTCATAAACAGCGCTGGTGTATCAGCGGACTGTGGTCAAAATAAAGTTTAAACACTAATGAGGATCAACATGCTTTAAGAATCCTGTAACTGTAACTCAGAATATAGTCAGTCTCGCACAGTCTACTCAACAGAGAAGAGTTGTCATCTCAGATGATAGTCACGGTTACTGTCCCCTGCAGGACTGGAGTACAGAAATGCACTGGCACTGCAACACCTCTTAACATACACTAGATGGCGACAAAACACTATATGTCTTTGAATAGAATCGCGCATAATGTCATATCAGGTACATTTGATACTTGATACATCAAGTATCAAAGCTAAAAAGATAGTGGGTAACGGCGAATGAAGGAGTGTACTACATATCAAAGGTAAAGGAAATAAAACATTAAATCCTAAGAAAATATGCAGCTACCCTCAAAAGGTGTTATTGTCCAGTTAAAAAGCATTACACTATCAAAGCACGGCCTTACAGCCGACACATTTAGTTTTTAGAGTCACTAACTGAGGTTTTGAGAAATGAATTACACAAATGCTTGTTTTTTTCTATCAGTCCTTTTCTATGTTGGTTTCAAACATCTTCTTCAACCCCTCTTAAATTAGAGTAATTTTTTGTGACTAATCCAAAAATTCAATAGGCTAGGCCTACTCTTGAGCACAAAATTTAAATCTTACTATAAAATTGACTGTTGTCTTCGTTTCCAGTGTTGTTTTGTTATTGTATTATCTTATTTATCCAATAGCTATTGCAAAATATGATAAATAGGCCTATTTTTCATAACTGTCAGATTGGGGCAAGTTGTCACAAATGTTAAAAAGTGTTATATTTATTAGGTACATTGTGTGTGTGTGTGTGTGTGTGGGGGGGGGGGGGGGGGGGGGGGGGGTTGTGTTATTTCACTGTAATATTATTTCACTGTTGAATCCACAGTTCATCTAAAAATGTACATTCTGTCATCATTTACTCACCGTCATGTAACTCCAAACCTGTATGACTCCCTTTTTTCTGTTGAATATCAAAGAAAATCCCCATATACATCAGAAGTCATTGGTTAATGAAAACTGTTACATTCTTCAAAATATATTATTTTGTGTTCCACAGAAGAAAGAAAGTCATACAGGTTTGGAAAGACAATGAAAGTGAGTAAATGATGACTGAATTTACATTTTCAGGTGAACTATCCCACTAATAGCAGGAATCATTGTGACAACTGAAAACTGAAGTAATCTGCTAAGTATTTAACTCATGTTTTATGCAAAAAGTTTTCATTGTGCATTATCTGAAGCTCATCAATCTGCATTCTAATTTAAAAGGCTTCACTTATATAATCTAATCAGAACAAAACAATATCATTTTACACCTTTTGCTTAATAGTTCACATTTACATAGTAATCAGGAAAAAAGCTCATTTAGACTTTTAGTGCAAGGACCTTCACAGCGACATGTTGATTATAGCACTCATTTACATGTGGTTTACGGGTCAACACGACGTCCTCATTGAGTCATGATTAAAGCCCTCTCTGATTATTGAGCGACCCCAAGCTGCCTTTAAAGACCGAGATGAGACGCACAGAGAGTCGAGGGCAGGAGATTATATCCCAGCTCACTTCTGACAGACCGATAGCCAAATTACCTGTTGGGAAGATTTACTGTTCTAATTTCACCAGACCTCTTCCATTAAACAAGCCATCCAAAAATAAGTTTATAAAAGACACAACTCAGGGTCGAGAATAAATCATTTATCATCTCTCTGAAAATGCAATATTTATCATAGCTCCATTGGGCTAAGGTATTTTACAGTGGTATGAGCACAGGAGATGGGATGCTGCTCAAAGTTTACTGTTCTGAGTCAAACCCACACGTACAGTACTGATGTGGGGAAGCAAGGAGCCATTTTAATGACACGCCACTCTCCACAAGCATGTTATGTGCATTCACTTTTGAGCATTCTGACCGTTCGATTCAGTTCTGCGACTTATGTATACTCTCAAAGCTTATAGCACTGTGGAGTCAAAAGTATATTTTACACCATTGTATGTTTCTTTAGGCGAGGAACTGCAGGCAGCTGGCCAAAGCTTTAACTCCCACAGTCTGAATTACATGACCGGTTGGCTCTACACAATCTCTTTTACGACAAAGTTGCAGGAGGACTATTGTGTGTGTGTGTTGTAAACCATTTGTATGCTCGCTTTGATGGTTTTGCAGTCTTTAAAAGCCGAATGGCATTAACATTTCCTGATGAGTGAGTATAGTCACAGACACCACACACTGCACATGATCCGTTTAGAGATCCATTGTTTCCAAGCCCACAGCCTCTCTGCCAGCCTTTCATTTTGGATCGCGATGTTGTTATGTGCCTGCTGGAAACAAAAAAGCTTAAACTTAAACCAGCCTAAGCTCTAACTTATGCAGAACTGTAAAAAAATAAAAACATTTTGTTTAGTCATTTGGTAACACTTTATAATAAGTAAACGGTAATAAAGTAATTCCAAATCATTTGCAAACTATTAGTTAATTCATTAATATATTAGTCTCTAGTTTTTTTAAATATAATAGTATACTAGTGAGTTCTTTCATTGTCACTGTAATTAATTATTATTGTTTAATTAGCTCATATGTAACGAGTTAGATCATGTTTTTTATACTTTGTTAACTTATTAATTGTAAATAGTTCTCACTTTAGATTAGGTCACAGAATCTAAACTCTGTGTGTGTGTGTGTGTGCTTTTAAAATTTAAGGAACACTGAAAATGAATGCAATTAATGTCCAATAAAGGTTGATTCATGATATTTTCCTATTTTCCATGACCTAATCTAAAGTGAGAACTATTTATAACTAATTCACAACTCCTTTATTACTGGTTTAAACTACTGTACATCATTTATATGGTTGTTAATAAAGCATAAATCAACTTTTAATTATTGTATGAGCTAATTAAATAATAAGCATTTTGTTATTTACAGTGACAATGATTGAGGCTCTCACTATTTGTATATATAATAACATAGAAACTACAATATAAACTATTAATAAACTGTAAACTAATAGTTTGTTAATGATATACTTTATTATGTAAGTGCAGTAATTGTAACAGAAAAAAGGCCAAACATTACATTTACATGTTTTAATTAATGCAAAATTAATAATGATCTCATAATGTATGGAATATGATGTTTTTAAAAAGACACTAATCATTTCCAGAATTCCATGCAAGAACGATCAAATTATGGAAGCCCATTTCACGTGGAACCCCATTTCCACCAAAAACAAAACAAAATTGGTAATTACGAGATAAAAAGTTTAAATTATGAGACAAAAAGTCTTAATTATTATTACCATAGACTGTAAAAAAAAATACTATTAGGCCTACATAAATAGTCGAAATTTTCAGATAAAAAGTCAACATTATGACATCGAACTCAAATAATGAGATAAAGAGTCAAAATTGTATCCAATTATTTTGGAGCCTTATTATGCCTGATTATCTCATAATTTCAACTTTTTGTCATCATTTAGACTTTTAACTCGTAATTGTGGACTTTTTATCTCACATTTTCTACTTTTTATGTGATAATTTCGACTTTTATCTCATAATCTCGCTTGTATAGGCTATCATAATTAGCCTATGATTAGGCTACCAAAGCATATTTGTTATCCTTATTATGCGGCTAAAATTAGCTTAGCTATACATTGGTCCGATAAACCAACCAACTAAAACAAGCCTGACCATTTCAGACCAGCAAAGCAGCTGCTGTTTTTCTCAGCAGGGGTCTGTGAATACAGTGATCAATGAGTCATAAATCCACTATCTGCCCGGAGGAAAGCCCTGGCAATGTGCGCTTGCTTTCAAGTGCCCAAGCCAAGGGCTTCACGATTCTCATCCTTCCTGCCTTGCTTGTGTTCTCTGCTCGTAGTAGGACAGTTTACGATAATGGTTCGTGTGGCTCATACAAATCGAGAGGGCAGAGCTTAGCTGACTCAATTGCATCTATTTCTTCTGGTTTCCTCTCACGCTGGCGAGTGAATCCAGCGCGAGGCGAGACGGAGAACAGCACCGACCGCCACAGGGATGTATACCAAACACAGACAGAAAAACGGACACATTTCATCGACACGATATGTGCTTGTATTGCTATCGCTTTTTCTGTTTAACGGTTTACTGGAAATTGTAGGCGGAAATCCTCGGGAGGAAGGTAAGACAGCGCTTTCATACCCCAGAACCTACTTGGAAAGTTGTTCTCCTTTATCAACCAGTTGCGCGCATACACGAAGAAGTTTTTTTGCTGGGAAAACGCATTTAAGTCGCTTCCAAAAGTGTAGCTTTGATGCATAAATACATTGTTTGCTTAGGTTACTGTGTAAAGAAAAGCTTTTTGAGCAATAATTCATCAGTGATTTCCCTGCCATATATGGATGTGGATGTTGCCCATGTTGACTAATGCAAGAAGACTGCTTTATATTCTCATGTGATTGTTTACTTTAATGTTGCTATAAACGTCAGGACATAATCAAATGCGATTGCACCTAATATGGACCTCAACTGAAAATGCAAAAGGAGAAAATGTGACATTGTAACATTCTATTTATTCGATCTAACCATTAAATCGGAACGACTTACATAAACATTTAAAAGTACAGTAACCCTGGTTAGTGACCGAGAAGTAACAGTACTTTTTAACAGTAGCCTAGGATATTTTTGTAAGTTCAGAATCAGCACTAGCCTATACTATTCAGCACTTTAGTAGCCTAACCGGAGTAGCGCACCGCTGTAGCCTACTAGATCTACAGCGTGAAATATCAGCGCTATTTTGAATATCTGACTAATCAGAATTAGGTAGGCTATACTCTAATCAGTAGGTTATTATAAGTATAAAAAAAAAAAAAAAAAAAAAAAAAAAAAAATCTAGTGCGATCAGTGTAGTCAGATTCCCAAACGAGTGAGTCGATCCGGTTTTTTTTTTTTTTTTGTGAATCAAAAACATATAGCCTACATCTCCGGAGTGGGCTAATCCGAATAATCCTGATACGGTTCATTAGCAGGGGCGGCGCCAGGGGGGGTCTTGGGGGGTCTCAAGACCCTCCCAAAAAATGCGTTGACCCCCCATTTGACCCCCCACCCCCTTCCTGATTAAAAATATATATATATCCG